GTCTTACTTTCTCGCACCGGCCTTCATACCCCAAGCCACGTAAACTCTGGATGAGCCTGGTAGAAACATGTTGGACCCGTTTGCTCTTTTGTGCATCTCCTCGGGTAATCGAAAAGTAGGCGGGCGAACCGTACTCTAGCATTGGTCTAATGATGGAAGAAAAGAGGCAAGTGGCAACTTCTTCAAACCATGTGCGGAAGCTACGTTTGAGCGCCCAAAGCATGCGCACTCCGTTACGATATAGTCTGTTCGTTTTGTCCACGGACTTCAAATCGTAGCGCGAGAGTTCACCTAGGTCCTTCACGGTGGGTGTGGGATATAGCGATTGGCCGTCAAAGTTGTAGGTTCTTCCGTCAGCACCCTGCCGCAGACTCCTAAATACAGATTTGGCTGGGTTGACCGGGAGATGAACTTCTGCAGACCTTGTGGATAAGCGGTTGAGGTCTTGTTGAAGTAGGCCACAGTCATCGGAAGCGTCGATTTCTCTCCAAATCTTCATGTCGTCCGGAAACAAGGCACAGAACGACCTTAGAAGCTGAGATAGATCGTTGATGTGGATCAAGAACAAAGTGGGCCCATCACAGTGCCTTGAGGCACGCCACTTGCAGAGGAATACCAATCAGTTTGATGGTCGTCGATCTGTACCCTCCACTTTCGTCCAACAAGAAAGTCGCGGATCCACCGGTGCAGTGAGCCACCGACACCACACATCCTGAGTTTGTGAAGGAGAACCTCGTGGCTGACCTTGTCGAATTCCTTACTGAAATCGATGAATATCACGTCGACGGACTTCCGCTTTCTTATTGCCTTCAACCACTCCTGCCTCGTCACAAGCAAGTTTGTAATGCATAAGCGGCCTTGCATAAAACTCTGCGGTGCTGGCGTCGGGACTTCTTTTGACTGTAGCAACCGCAGCAATCCCTTCACGATTTTCTCTGCAACTTTTGCCAAAGGTAGGTGTCAGACAAATTGGCCTGTACTTTGCTAGGGTCGCCGCCTTTCGGAATAGGCTTCACCACCGAACATTTCCAGTCAATGGGCAACGAACCTTCGGACACCGACCTGTTGAAAAGGTCAGTCACGACGGGAGAGATGATGGTCGAAAGTGTCTTGAGAATCAGTGGGTGAAGCCCATGAGGTCCGGCAGGTTTGGTGCCGTCAAGGTTAGCGAGTAGTTGACATACCTCTTCAACGCCACAGTCCAGACTGTCGAGTTCGGTAAAAGCGGTACACGTCGAACTTGGAACAGACACATGGTCATTCACAAACACAGAAGCGAAGTGCATCGCCAACGCGAACGCAGGCTCAGTGCTGGAGGTTAGGAGCTGTCCATCCGGGCCATCCAGCACTGGCACATCACCTGCCGGTTTCAGGCCTCGCTTCACGTAAGCAAAGATTCTCTTTGGGGCGGTCTTCACGGCGATTGCGAGCTGCTCTTCGAAATGTCGACGCTTATTCTTTTTTGCACTGTTACAGAGCTTCTACTGACTTTCATACCCTTCGTAATCATTGGCAGAGCCAGAGAGTAGGAATTTGTCCCACAGTCTGCACCGCTTCCGAGTCAGATTTCCTTGCCCTTGTCAAACCAATGAGGCTTACTTGGTCCAACCTTCCGACATTTCAATAGCACAAATTGGGAACACAACGATGTCAATCTCTCTTTTATAAATATCCATCAGTCTTCCACAGATGCAGCTTGTGACAGACCAATCCAGTTGGCTCGCGGCTCGAGCTAATCCATCGAAGTCCGTTTTCCAGTAGTTATAAACTGGTTCCAGCGGACGTGAATACGGCAAAGGTAATTCCATATCAACTATGAGCTCTGAGTGGTCGCTTGTAGCCAGGGGCTCCAGGATCCGAGCGTGACGCACTCGTTGTTCGTAGCACGTTAACATCAGGTCGAGACAGGACGGGCTTGAGCGTATTGGCTGGCATATGTGTTGCGATGCGCCAGTTTCAAGTACCAAATCCAACCTTCAACCTCAAGTGCACATCAGGTCATCGTTTTCGAGGACAGTTAAAATCGCCCATTAGTATAAAGTCTGGATGACTCATGTGGGTTCGAAGATGGGGCAGCCAATCCAAACAGCGACTTAGGGGGCTGCGATAAACTGCGCCCACAAGTGGTTCTCCGCGCCTGAGGCGGATGGAGCACCACAGTAGCTCACACAAACCATCGTCGTTTCGGTAGGTGCTCACAAGTCTCCCACGCAGGGAAGACCGGATGTAAAGCAAGACATCACCGCGGACATTCGTCAGTTTGTCGCAGCGGAAACAGGAGTGACCCATGAGATCAAGTTCTTGGGTATATAACTCTGAATGTAGCCATGTCTCTGCGAGTCCCACTACGTCTGGCCGCTCAGACGCAGCGAAACAACAAAGCTCATCGCGCTTGTTCACAACACTGCAAACGTTTGTGAAGGCTACTCGCAGGCCGCAGCAGGAACTGCCGGATGTGCTTGAAGTGTGAGCAGTCTGTTTATCCTGATTCGAAGATTGTTGGAAACCACCCGAAAATTTACAACATGTAGGTTTATTTTTCCTCACCAATACGTCTTTTCAGCTCAATGATGGTAGACTTGAGCCACTCCCTGTATATTGGGTTAGTGTCTAGACGAACATGAATCTTCAAACCTTTCAGCCTACCTAGGCGGGACATGATCAGCCTTGGACTGGCCTCGTCCACAAAAAGGATTCTCATAAACCGATTTTGTTGATCACCTTGCTTTCCATGGTGGGTAATTTGTCTCACTTTTACCGAGTCCTCACCAGCGTCGATGGGTCTGTCAATTAGCCTCTGTAAAAGCTCGACATCGTGCTCGTAGCGCACTTGAGGTGATGGATCACTGGACTCCGGCGCATGGAATATCACTAGGTTATAACGCCTCTGGTCGGACGTGTTGACCTTGCAGGGCGAAGTATATTACCAGCGTCACGTGATTTGGCTAACTGTTGACTTACAGAAGTTAAACGCCCAACATCACTTCGTAATTTCGTTCTTTCTTCTTTCCACTGCTCTTCAGTACTCAGACTGACCTGTTGGGACATCAGTGCTTGTTGGACACAACAAAGGTAAACAATTTGTGCAGTTGAAACGGGGCTTCTCACAACGGTTGGACTTCGTGCCGGTGAGTTTGCACGGGTAGAGGAGGAAGACTGAGCTGAAACCTGAAGGCTCTTCGGGCTAGGTTGTTGGGCCAAACACACGGAGCTGTTCGCAACGGAATGATGAAGCCTACACGTCGGCTTTACTCTTCCTGGCTGTATCTTGTTTCGGCAATTTTCACAAAGTTTGAACGAAATCTTGTTGGATCTCACGAAGATGATGAAAATGCTCAACTGATAATCCAACACATGAAATGTGGTATTTGGCTTGGCACAAAACACACGTGAGGGCATTTGCACGGTATCCGACTATCTTGGAGCAAGTACCATATGGTGACTGCTTCGGCGTTGTGAATAATCCGCAAACAAGATGGCGGCCAATTGTCGGCGAAAATATCGGAAACAAGGTCGCCGAAACAAAGCGATGAAAACAAGTATTTCTGGTCGGAAATTTCAGAACCAGAACTGAGACTGAATTGTATCTAAATTTCCACGAGATACTCTCGATGAACGAAGAAATCCAACGCAGCCAGAGATAACCGACCTGGGGCCGCTATCCGCAGTTAGATGATGATAATGATGTTGTTGAGTTTGATAATGATGATGGTAAATTAGACTCCCCAATCGCATGCTCTATCATTAGTTACACCAATGTTACTTAGCATTGGATGGTCGTCGAGGGCAGTCGTTTTGTGAATGGATTGCAATACGCCATCTCAATGTGAACCGCGATTCCTACTGAATTAAACCGTGTTCAACTTGATCTAGTTGTCCGCTGTCACACTATGGGCCTTCGCGTATTTTTTGGGCTAACCCATTTAGCTGCTCGATTATGGGATCAGTGCAGACTTTCATGACTCCACCAAACACAGCATAGCTTTATTGGCCTACTACTTCAAGTTGTTATCAAATAAAGGGGATTAGAACGACTGGACGATGTTCAGACCACATCGTGCTTGCGCGAATGCAACGGGACTGTGCAAGCCCTTCTTTTGATCATTGATGTTGTCCACCTCGAGCAAAACCGGCTACCCAGTTGTCTCGTGTCGCTCTGTGGGCCATGGTGAACAACCAAGTGACGTGCAGAAGCATACAGAAACTATCACCACGCTTAGCACTCGTTGGACCGGCTCGCCTTCCAGGTGTTGACCGGTGGCCGAAAGGATTGCGCGCCTGGCTTCCAATCCTTAGATCATCGGTTCGAATCCGCGTAGGGACACGCTTTTTCGCAGTTTACTCAGCCCACGTACGACAGGTCGTGGTGGCGCGGCGAAGCGTCGTCACAGTGCGCAGGCGTACAGATGATGGGCTTCTTTTTTTCTTCCAGGCTGGTGACCATGCGAAAACCCTTCCCAGCGATTGGAAACATCAGATGTTATAGCCTGCAACAGACCTAAATAACGCTGTTGCTGTTTCGCCCTATCATCTGTTAGTTAATGACAAATTGAACACTTGAAAGCCACAGACACAAAACTCACAATGGTGTGTGTAAAACTCTAAACTTTTCAGATAGCTCATTGCCTGTAATCAGAGTATATATATATATATATATATATATATATATATATATATATATATATGCACTGTTGTCTTACTGGCTAATGCAATCATAATCTGTCACCTCAGCGGTTGGTGCAGTATCAAGGCGAATGAGTTGCTATATCCGTCTCCTACATTTACTTCTTGACATTCCAACTCGATTAATATTGTCTTCGTTGTTTTCTGGTCATTTTGTGTTGTTCTATTGTTTGTCTCATTTTGTTCACAATTGCCATTATCTTGGCGGCTCGAGCCGTGACAACTGCATCGACCACATTCCGGTGCTCAGTCCACCTTTGTTTACCTGGACTGAACTGGCTCTGGTATAACTCCAGGATGAACGCTTCTTCTTTTCAGTCCACTGAGATAACTTTCCGCACTGGGACCATTGTGCGCCACTTCTGATGTTCCTGTACAACATCACATTACAACGCGCTTCGGGGATTACCCATGCGGTTCACGGCAATTTCTCGGGTACGAAGCAACAGGAAATCGCGGTCTCAAGAGGGAAGATTATCGAGCTTCTTCGCCCCGATCCCAACTCAGGAAAGGTATACACTCTGCTTACATGCGAAGCGTTTGGTATAGTTCGGTCTTTTATGCCATTTCGTTTGACCGGTAGCAGCAAAGACTACCTTATAGTAGGCTCCGATTCTGGTCGCGTCGTGATTTTGGAGTACATTCCCTCGAAAAATATTTTTGAAAAAGTGCAACAAGAAACTTTCGGAAAAAGCGGTTGCCGTCGTATTGTGCCCGGTCAATATCTTGCCGTTAATCCGAAAGGACGGGCATTTATGATTGGTGCAGTGGAGAAACAGAAACTAGTGTACATCATGAATCGGGACTCACAAGCGAGACTGACTATTTCCTCCCCACTTGAAGCTCATAAATCTAACACTCTCGTCTACCACATGGTAGGCGTTGATGTTGGTTTCGATAACCCACTGTTTGCTTGCATTGAAATGGATTACGAGGATGCCGATCAAGATCCAACTGGAGAGGCTGCACGATCGGCAAATCAACTCCTTACCTATTACGAACTGGATTTGGGGCTCAATCACGTTGTTCGCAAGTACTCTGAACCCCTGGAAGAGCATGCTAACTTCCTAATCGCTGTTCCTGGTGGTAATGAAGGCCCATCTGGTATCCTTATATGTTCCGAAAATTACATCACTTATAAGAATTTTGGTGACCAACCCGATATACGCTGCCCTATCCCGCAGCGTCGCAATGACCTCGATGATCCGGACAGAGGAATTCTATTTGTATGCAGCGCTTCACACAAAACGAAGGTAAGCGTGATTCTACTTTCATTTCTCAGAACTTGTTCTTTTTTCTTGCCCAAACCGAGCAGGGTGATATCTTCAAAATAAACCTGGAGGTTGATGATGACATGGTCACCGAAATCAAGTTGAAATACTTTGACACCGTTCCTGTCGCATCTGCCATGTGTGTCCTTAAAACGGGTTTCTTGTTTGTTGCCTCAGAATTCGGAAATCAGTGAGTTATCGTGTGCTTTTTCATTTGTCAGTTCTTTGTACCAGATCGCGCACCTTGGTGATGATGATGATGAACCCGAATTTTCATCTGCCATGCCTCTAGAAGAGGGAGATACCTTCTATTTTGCTCCAAGGCCCTTGAAGAATCTTATAGAGGTTGATGTGCTGGACAACCTGTCTCCTATCATGAACTTTCATGTAAGTCGCCATCCTTGTCACCAACCCTTCTTAGATAGCTGATTTCGCCAACGAGGATACACCTCAGCTTGCAGTTCTCTGTGGCCGTGGTCCTGGCTCCACCTTTCGCTTGCTACGACATGGTCTAGAAGTATCTGAAATGGCCAAATCCGATCTTCCGGGAAATCCTAACGCTGTTTGGACTGTAAAGCGCAATTCAGAAGGTCAGTTTTCGCTCCGGATAGTGTGCATTGATGATTTCGTAAAACAATACCTGTGTTCACGCGGTCCTTTTGTACGTGAGCGAGTGCTGGCCAATCTTTGTACACGATTCGCGTCGGATTTCAGCCTTTGACAACGGTTGGCTGAGCAGGATAGCTCATGCGTAGTGGGAACACCACGATTGCAAAGTCGACGTTAGACGTCGCGTCCTAGGTTATACCAGCTAATGTCGCTGCGCCAATTGCGGTGGCTGGATCACCTCCTACGCATGTTCTGCGAGCGTTTGCCATGGTGAGCTCTATTTGTTCGCGTGGGGCCGCACTGGATGAAATCGTGTGGTTGTCAACCTACTACATGACGGCAAAACTTCAAAGCGCTGACTTCCAGTCTAGCTGTTGTCAGTCCTGAACATCTTCCGAGCTGGGGAGTTAGAGATGAAGAAGATGACTGGTTGGAGAATTTTCGGGACATGGCGCGTAATCGTGGACAATGGAAGGCTTGCATGAGCTTTCGTATTGTTTCTCCTGATCGACATTGTGATCACTAAACTGACAAAAATGACAAAACGACGTGTGTAAACGCAAAAGATATCTCGGTGTATTTTCTTTCTTATCTTTGTACTTGTTATACACATTCATCACATGGTTTCTCAATGGTTCTATGTCTGTTGTATAGAATGCATATATATATATATATATATATATATATATATATATATATATATATATAGTGGAACTTCCGTAAGTTGACCACCGAAGAAACTGGGCCAAACTGATTAACTTAGAGTGGTGGTCAACATATGGAGGTTCTATGCCAAGTTAGCGTAATCTACTTTCCCGCTGTGAGTACTATACTGTGAAATTCATTTTCAAGTAAATCCGTTTCAAACACCTTAGACAAGGTCTCACGTAATGGTAAACGCAGTTTAACCATACACTGTTATAGTAAACCAAATCACAGTGTGCATTTCGCAAGTTAAATAATATTTTTGCAGAAAAAGCCAATCTGTATGTTCCCTTCTTCAAGGCAGAGAGAAGACAGAGGTTGCCATATGTCAACATTTCGATTGTTCTCTTCAGGCGCAAACAGTACGAGCAGAAACGCAAACTATTATCTATATGGAAAAAATTGGCAACACCAATCAAAATGTCACAGTCAAGACCGTGGCAACCGAATTGATTGCCTCAAGAGTTTCTGTGCACACAACATAGGTTGATGAGTCTTAATTAACAATGCTTCACTAATTACCAGCATTATCGGATTTCGTTACGTACTAACACTTTGAATGCTGTCTCAGGGTTCACGTGATGACGGGTTGCCATGAGGTGTTTGGTGATAGACGATGCTTGGCTCCGATTAATTCTCAGGCCCGTCCCATTTTATTGCGTAATCACTTGTCCTAACCACTTTGGCAAATGCGCAGCTACCCTTTGATCTAACTGACGGTTTGTTCCGCCTATGTAAATGTCATCGCAACCGCAGGTGAATTGATAAACAACGTGAGGGGCCGAACTACCCGACGAGATGCTCTGACGGGTGTGCCTGAGTCGCAACTGGGCTGTCTTGTAGGTGCGCATAGGAGCAGACCGGAGCTCGCGTCCTATGTCATTTGCCACATGGTCCCCCTTGAACGGCAAGAACAAATAAACATCCTTTTTCTCAGCCGTCAGCACCGATGTTTTTACGCTGGGAGGTCTGCTGTCTACTTGTATAAACTCAGGATATCTATTAGAAATTAAGGTCTTGCGTAGAAGTTCTTCGGCTTTTAACCTTTCGGAGCTGCAAATACTTCTAGCTCGGTAGAAGAAAGTTTTCACTAAGCCGCGTTTGTATGCGATTGGGGTGAAGCTTGAAAAATGAAGGTACTGTCCACTCCAAATAGATTTGCGGTGAACAGTGCGCTGCAACGTACCTTCAGCCCATCTCTTTATGAGTATATCCAAAAACGCCAGGCAATTGTGTTGTTCCACTTCATGGGATACCGACAGGTTAGGGTGAAAAGCATTCTCAGCACAAGCTACACTACTCAGCATGCTTGGATATTTTACCACAGCCAGTTATTACACTTGTATTAAAAGATGTCTTCTGCGATTTCCAAAGCACCGTCACTCAGTAGTTCTTCATCAGCATCATCCGTAGGGAAGTACCGCAATCAGTATTACGGAAAATACCATCTGGGCGTCGTTCAGTACAAAGTTACCAAGTCATTATCCATTTTAACTAACTCTTTAATTTCTATTCCGTCGAATTCTGCCAATGGAGATGGATTGTCTAATAAGGCGACGATATCCCGTTCGAGAGATTGAACAAATCCGGCTTTTCCTAAACATTTCTGAACTCTAAGCCAAGTGGTCCGTATCCAAAGCATAGCGTCCAAGGCATTAACTGAAGCGACAGATGAACTTCCTTACGCATGAGAATCATTAATATGCAATTTTGCCATAACCCATTGCATAAGATTGGCTCAGTAATGCATTTTAAATATTTTGATGATCTCTTGGTCCAGAGGTTAAATTTGTGTGGTCATGTTTGGAGACAGAAACTTAATTGTAATATTTGTGATATTTTTGCATGGATGCAATTAAGACCTTTTTCCAACTTGAGGATAATGACGCGTTTCTTCATCATTTCTTTGTGGATACTTCTGTTCCACTCCTCGACTATGGCAGCAGTCATCCACGTACATCGGTTTTATCTCCAGGTGACTGAAAGGTTTCGGGATTTAGGTTTTTGAACGCACGTAGTCTAGCTGCTTTACCAAGGACCAGGGGCTTTAGCTTCTCCCCACTTGAGTTAGCGCACAACAGAACTGTGAAACGTTCTTTGGACTGTTTCCACTCTTACATTTGTCACCCTTTATAACAAGGCTTCTGTTAGGCATCACTTGAAAAAGGAGACTGCACTCATCGGCGTTAGTATGTCGTCATTATTGAAGCCCTTGCTGAGGTTGGAAACATTTTCCATGAAGTTTTGAACAAACTCTTCAGGCAGTTCGTTAGATTCACCACACAAAACTCTTTGGGAAATTTCGCGTCTGAGTTTAAATTTCTCTGGCCAACCATTGGATGTCTGGTAATCTGCAACCCCAAATTCTTGTGAGAACCTTTGGGCAAATTATTGAATCATCGGCCCAGAAATTCTTGCGTTAGTTGCCTTTATTTGCTTGAACAAGTGCGGGGTAGCCTCACTGACTTAATCGTGTGGTTTCTCCGCCTCTTCTCTCCAGGTGCTCGTGTTTATGTCTTTGGATGTTGCTAACAGTTGTCTTACTAACTCCAAAATACTCTGCCATCTTTTTGGCTACTGCTTTTCAGCAAATCTAGCAAGCTAGTCTTTTCTTCAAATTCAACTCTGGAGTATTTTATTCGGGCCATTATGTTGAATTACTGGTAATGACCGATCCCAACTTGATCATAGCACGGAGTGGATCTAAAGTCTACGGTTCTGTTTACCTAACATTAATTACATGCAATAACTAACCTCAGTTGGTTTCACACTCAGACAGACACCAAATAGAGCCGGATAAACGCTCGACAGCTAATGTGCGCGTAAAAGACAATCTTACACAATCCAAGGTGCTAATGAACTGGTGCTTGGATCTGATGATTAATCGAGTAACATTCATTTTCGGCAAAGGTGTGTATGGCTCGAGAAGTGAGCAGAACAGCCATTTACTAAGGAGGGACGAATGCCCCGACATAATATTAAGCAGATGCCTCAATAAAAGTTTGAGGAACTCGATCAATGGCCGCATGCCCAGTACGTGTCAGTGTTTTTGTTGTTATAGTGATTGTGTATGGTAGACTGCACCTCGCGTATAAACATCATACACCCGTATGGTTCCTTGGATGGTGGAAATGCACAAATCGGAAATATCCAAGGTCGAGAGTCCCAATGACAGCAGGTGTTTTGCTGACAAGGGTTGGATATATCCTCCAGTGTTTAAGATGAGCGGATAATGTACTATAGAGGTTGCCGCAAATGCTGTTTGTGCCTAGTTTCTGATGGCCACTGCGTAAACACCGACGCCGTCTTTATCAATTTTGTTTTAGTAGAATTGGGTCACCCGGTGTGCGTCACAGCCAGCAACGTCCATCACGTAGATAGTGGCATCCCGACAGATGAATAGATCTGGTTTGATGTAAGTCGCTTGCGTGGGGTTGCGTGGTTCTGGGATGACTGTAGCTCCCCGGCTGCGTAGCGTCCTTGCAACTTGATTGGCAATACCATTGTGTCGTTTGCAAAAGGGCATCATCGGTTACGTTGTATGATTGGAGCACGTGAGAGATTGATTCGTGTTGCCTACATGCACCGCGACAATTGAGATCGGATGTAAAACGCGGTGGTCTGCCTCTGGCGCGTCTTACTTTTGTAGGAAGGACGCCTGCGCGTAATTGAGTTACCCTGATAAATAGACGCGGGAAGACGCGTGCAGGTTGCCGGAGCCATCGATGAGCAATTGGATGCGTTAAAGCTTGACGTAGAGGGGATCCGTCAAGGGTAGTAAGTAACGGAGTCTTCCATGCCTCCTTTGCTGAAGCTTTATTCGAACGTTAACCCTGATTAATTTGTCCATCGTTTTGAGTGTGTATCGATGGATTACTGCCAGCGAGAGGCTGTGGATGTGTCGTGGGATGAGGAAGGTCCTGAGAATTTCGATCCGTTGGTGTGGTTTTTAGGGTGCTTGCGAAGTTTCTTGGAGTTGCTGACGCAGCTCATCGAGGGAGTGAGGCGGTAGCTTGCCGTGCCAGTTCAAAGGTAAACCCAGGAACTTAAACGAGTCCGTCGGTTGGACCGATGGAAGATTCATCGGTCCTACTTGAATATCAGAAATGTCCAGCAACGCTTTCTGCTTGGATCTATCGATGACGATATTTTCAGTCTTGGTTTTCATCTGGTTTATGGAAAGGCCAGTAAACTGGAGGACGTTGCTAAAAGTTAGGAGCTCTTCCTGTTGTGCATCTTCGTTTTACGCTACGATGATCACGTCGTCCGTGTATGC